CACCCTCCTTCTCTCCCCTCATCACCCTCCTTCTCTCCTCCTCATCCACCCTCCTTCTCTCCCCTCATCACCCTCCTCTCCCTCATCACCCTCCTTCTCTCCCTCATCACCCCTCCTTCTCTCCCCTCACCCTCCTTCTCTCCCTCATCTCCTTCTCTCCCTCATCACCCTCCTTCTCCCTCCTCATCCACCCTCCTTCTCTCCTCATCACACCCTCCTTCTCTCCCTCATCACCCTCCTTCTCTCCCTCATCACCCTCCTTCTCTCCCTCATCACCCTCCTTCTCTCCCGCATCACCCTCCTTCTCTCCCTCATCACCCTCCTTCTCTCCCTCATCGCCCTCCTTCACCTCCACCATCATCATCGCTGGCCGCCACCAAGCATCCATCTTGTGTAAAAATAAAGCCAAAACTAAGAAAAGAAACACGAGTCTAATAATCTCATTAGCTCTTAATAAATGGCTCATTAGTGCTCATTATAAGTCTCATTACATATCTAGTTCATTTTTCTCATTAATAAGATGTTAAACGAGTCATTAATTACATTGTTCTTTCGTTAACTGTTTTCTTAAGTATAGCACCAAATATTTTAATTATCTCGTTAAATGTATCGCTAATTGTCTCGTTATAGACTTCGTTAAATGTCTCGATCAAGATAAGGGAATACGGGGAGAGAATTCAGAACGTTGATCAAGGCAGCTTCACTCCTCTAGTGTTCACAACCTCTGGAGGGATGGGACCAAGTGCAAGATGTTTCTACGCCAGACTCGCGGAGGTGATCTCCGAACAGAAGCAGCAGCCCAGAAGTTATGTTACAGCCTGGATGAGATGTCGACTGTCCTTCTCTCTCCTTAGGTCGGCTTTGGTCTGCTTCAGGGGAACGAGAGCATCTGCCCCAAAGCCGACAACAGTTGCAGATATTGACTATGAGGCAACAGTCACTGAATGCCGCATAGATCTGCAGCTCAACTAACTCAACACAGCTATGATAGCTACTTATGTATTAGGATATTTAATATTAAGGTAATAAAATGGTGGCGAAGGTGTGGCTATTGGGGGAGGCTGGAGGAAAAAAAAATATTAATAAGGTCTCAGATCAACACCAGAGTATCAGGTATCAAATTGAATCACAAATACTGTACCTAAGGAGCACCACAAGGCAATTAACTGAGACCCATTTAATTTACGACTGCGGTTAACGAGTTCGCTTGTAATGTGTCAATCTCCATCAAAGTTCGTCAAGGTAATCTCGCTGTGGTTGGTGTTATCAGTGTCCCTCTAAAGTTTAAACTGATTATACAATGAAGCTTTGTTAATATGGCAGAGGGAAGAGGCGAAGTTTGTGAACATTATCCCAAACTAACAGTAATGTGTAGGATATGTTAGGTTAGATTAGGTTATGTTAGGTTAGATTAGGTTAGATTAGGTTAGATTAGGTTAGATTAGGTTAGATTAGGTTAGGTTAGATTAGGTTATGTTAGGTTAGATTAGGTTATGTTAGGTTAGATTAGGTTAGATTAGGTTAGATTAGGTTAGATTAGGTTAGGTAAGGTTAGATTAGGTTAGGTTAGATTAGGTTATGTTAGGTTAGATTAGGTTAGATTAGGTTAGATTAGGTTAGATTAGGTTAGATTAGGTTAGGTAAGGTTAGATTAGGTTAGGTTAGATTAGGTTATGTTAGGTTAGATTAGGTTAGATTAGGTTAGATTAGGTTATGTTAGGTTAGATTAGGTTAGGTTAGGTTAGGTTAGATTAGGTTATGTTAGGTTAGATTAGGTTAGATTAGGTTAGGTCATTACTAAGATCAATATATTCTTGTATAACACCTTTAGGGGTTGTACTGAAAGGGTTAATCATTATAAATCAATCAACTAACAAGAAGAATACCTGAGTGTTATTGGCCAGCGTAAAATACAAGCAGTTCATACACCATCCAACACAAACACTCATACCTTTCCACGCCACACACAAACACCTTCCCCACTCATTCCAGACACCTCCCAGCACACTCCAGACACCTCTCAACACACTCCAGACACCTCCCAGTACACCCCAGACACACACACCCTCCCCAACACATTCCAGACACCTCCCAACACACTCCAGACACCTCTCAACACACTCCAGACACCTCCCAACACACTCCAGACACCTCCCAACACACTCCAGACACCCCCCCCCTCCACATACACACTCTTCCCGGTATCAACTGTTTTTATCATTACGTTATTTGAGACAATGCCGTGGCTCCTGCCCCCCCACCTTCGCCCTTCACCCACCGTAAATATGGCAACGCCGCATGACTCACCGCCCCTCCCACCCCCCTCCACCAGTGACGGCCCACGTGAGAATAACATAAATCAATATTGTGATTTATATAAACTATCAAGGTGTAAATCACACATCTGCCTTGAGGTATAAGGGTGTAAATCACACATCTGTCTCGAGGTATAAGGGTGTAAATCACACATCTGTCTCGAGGTATAAGGGTGTAAATCACACATCTGCCTTGAGTTACTAGGCTGTAAATCACACAGTAATTAGATGTAAACAAAAATATTTACACACGAGCACAAGAACTGAACGAAGCGAATAAAATGGCCTTTGAAAACTAGAATGTCCAGTAATTATACAGAATTATACCAAAAATATACCAATTAAAAATCAATTATACGATTATGGTACAGATTATACAAGAAATTGCACACAATAATCTAATTCCACAATTTGTCCATCCCACTCATCTGTTTGTTCATCCCACTCATCTATTTGTCAATCCCCCTCATCTATTTGTCCACCCCACTCATCTATTTGTCCACTCCACTCATCTATTTGTCCACCCCACTCATCTATTTGTCAATCCCCCTCATCTATTTGTCCACCCCACTCATCTATTTGTCCATCCCACTCATCTATTTGTCCATCCCACTCATCTATTTGTCACTCATCTGTTGTCATCTCATCTATTTGTCACCATCCCCCACTCATCTATTTGTCCCTCCCTCATCTATTTGTCCACCCCACTCATCTATTTGTCCACTCCACTCATCTATTTGTCCACCCCACTCATCTATTTGTCAATCCCCCTCATCTATTTGTCCACCCCACTCATCTATTTGTCCACCCCACTCATCTATTTGTCCACCCCACTCATCTATTTGTCCACCCCACTCATCTATTTGTCCACCCCACTCCTGCACTGCGCATATCACCCAGCTGACCCTTACTTGACCCCACTCCACTAACCTCTAGCTAATCCCAATCAGCTAATCCCTACCCGAGCCCACTCTGCCAACCTCCCATTCAAACCCACTCATGCCAACCCCCCCACTCAACCTCCTCCTCTAACTCTCACCTCGACGCCCCTCTGCTAGGCTTCCCACTCTACATCCCCTCTAACTCTCACCTCCACGCCCTCTGCCAGGCTTCCCTCTACCTCCCCTCCCTCTAACTCTCCCACCTCCCTAATCCTCCTGCCTATCCCCCCCTCAACCTCCCCTCTCCTTAGCTTTCACCTCCACTTCCCTCTACCCCCCCTCTCCGCCCATGGTTCAACCGCTCCAGTGAACGAAGGTAAATAAGAGATGGGAAGCGGTCACTGCCCTTCTTGTATCACCATCATCACCACCATTAACTACACCATCACCACTACCTCCATCACCACCATCACCACCATCATCACCACTATTAACTCCATCATCACCACTACCTCCATCACCACCATCATCACCAACATTACCTCCACCATCACCACTACCTCCATCATCACCATATCACCACCATTAACTCACACCATCACCACTACCTCCATCACCACCATCATCCTACCATTACCTCCATCATCACCACTACCTCCATCACCACCATCTCACCACCATTACCTCCCACCATCACCCTGCCTCCATCACCACCATCATCACCACTATCACCACCATTACCTCCACCATCACCACTACCTCCATCCACCATCATCACTATCACCATCGTGCTCACCATCCTACCTCCATCACCACCATCTACCATCATCACCACCATTACCTCCACCATCACCACCATCATCACCACTATCACCACCATTACCTCCACCATCACCACTACCTCCATCACCACCATCATCACCACTATCACCACCATTACCTCCACCATCACCACTACCTCCATCACCACCATCATCATCACTACCACCACCACTCCACCAGCACCACCACTCCACCACCACCACAAGAGGGTACATGACTTGCTCTTCCGTGCCAAATTGAACTACTGTACTCGTATCATATGAAGATTAACCCCCTAGTTTATTTTACTTTAAAATAAACCTAATTTAACCTAACCTGACCTAATGGTATTCTAATCTAACATGAATATGATAACTTAACCCCTTGATTACGATAACTTAACCCCATGATTACGATTAACCCCATGATTACGATAACTTAACCCCTTGATTACGATAACTTAATGATTACGATAACTTAACCCCTTGATTACCTTAACCCCATGATTACGATAACTTAACCCCTTGATTACGATAACTTAACCCCTTGATTACGATAACCTAACCCCTTGATTACGATAACTTAACCCCTTGATTACGATAACCTAACCCCATGATTACGATAACTTAACCCCTTGATTACGATAACTTAACCCCTTGATTACGATAACTTAACCCCTTGATTACGATAATTTAGCCCCTTGATTACGATAACTTAACCCCTTGATTACGATAATTTAACCCGATGAATACAATGACTTAAGTTCTTGAAATATAATGACGAATAAGGTTAGCATCGTAGTCAAGGGATTAAAAAGATCTTACTCAACAGGACTCAAGAGTGACGATGACGTACTCAAGAGGATAAGTACGTCTCTTTATCCCCCGCCAAGAGGAACACAATCTTAAGAAATATTAGATTAGGTTATCGTTTAATCTCCAGTTTCTTATGTGAGGACAGTGGTACAGTCAGACGGGGAGCTTAACTCTTACTCTCCCCTAAGTCTGTGGGAGATTTTCAAGGGGCATTATGAAGATTCAGTGAAGGAGTACTACAATAATTTGCTTCGTAAATCTACCATGAAAAGGTTTGTCTTGTTAAAGTTACGTTAATGTTATTTTCGACACTGGTATACAGTAGACTAGTGGGTAGAATTAAACGTTATTGATGTTGGGTTGTTTTGATGAGAAGTATTCCAGCGGACTGACGGGCGGGTGGAGGCGAGAGTCAGCTGTTTCGCTCCCGACTTCCTCCCCGGAACCGTCCACGCCCTCACTTATACACTCCCCTCTCACTCTGTCGTTGATAACATTATACACCGGTAATGTGGTAAGGAAATTGGGTATTGCCATATTGTAAATTAAATGTAAATTCAGCGGACGTGACACATGCACAATGACACACAATCTCAGATAAATTGAGTTCGAAGCAGCGGGGTGGTCGCGGCCATGAGCGTGTTCCTCCCTCCTTGGTCGTCGTCTGCCCGAGTCAATGAGTCACGAGAAGTTGCAATTCTTACATGATGATCGTCCCCGCTGATGACTCACGTGTAGCGCACCTCACCACTACTGGGGAGAGGCACCAACAATACTCAGAGTTGTTCCCTATGAATAAATTGATATATTAAAGGCAAAGGTTCGTGCAGTGGCAGCCAGGGAGCGTGCAGCAGCGGGCAAACCAGGTTGTTTACCTGACCGAGTGTTTGTGTAGTCTAGCTCTCCCGCTACCTGAACTGTGCTTTTACCTCTCACTGCTAGTCAGCCTCACACACACACACACACACACACACACACATTAACTCAGGGATGCAATTAAAGCTATTAACTATACGTCATCGTGGTGCTGTAACAGTAATTGTGAGGTAAGAACATTCCAGACAGGTGTGTGAGGGTTTCTCAAGCCAGCTGATTGGAGCAGCACCAGAGAGGTGAGCAACATGTACTACTGACTTAGACTGTTGTACTCACCCCAACTGAGACCATCTGGTCTTCCTGGCCACGGGAAGACGGGAAGGTGCAAACAAATTTGCTACCTGCCGCCTCCTCGGACTTGTTGAGGGGCCGAATGCGGCAGATGACGCGGATGCTGTCATCGACCTGCTCACGAGGCTTTTCCTCTTCGCCTCCCATCCTGAAGCTGGTGTGTTACTCCTGCACAAGACTTAGTTAGGTCCGGACACTACACGTAGCCTGTACAGGCTGACACGGCGTGGGATGAAGCGTCTTACCACTAGAGATATATCCAAGTCAGTTGTTGGGGGCGGGAGTCAGGTGTGCGACACTCGAGGACACGTCAATGAGCGTGGTAGCGTGGTGCCGGTGCTCGGTCAGGAGCCGGCATGATGACTGAGCCGTCGCCGCCGCCGCACCGCCGCCTGCTGCTGCTGGAGCCACCCGAGGGAATCGATTCGCCACCCGCGTCACCACCACCACGCCCACCACCGCCGCTGCACACTTTGCGTCCTGCACCACTATATCAAAACTACCGTCAAACTCTACCGTTGTGTTGGATTCAGAAGGCAATGTCTGGGAGAGGGAGACGAGGAGGTCAGGTGTGGAGTATGGACGCAGGATTCAGGGATGCCGGTTCAGCGTTCCAGCTGGCGTGATGCACTACTGGCGCCCGTGGCTGGCGACGGTCCCTCTACACGTTGCCAGATGCACCCTTCCAGACCTTTCCAGGTGCAATGTTTACTAAAATTATAAAAGTTTAAGAACAGAGATAACGCGATCACACATCCCCAGAGAAAAAATATAGATTCATCCAGAATAAAAAATATTCTCGTTGTGATGAACGCGTTCCAGGCAGCTGGAAAGTCAAGTACTAGTAATGGGTTCCAGCTGAGTGGTCCCCGCACAAGTAGCAGAATTTGAACACGGATTTACCTTGTAACTTAAAACATAACTTTTACTCATCACTCAGTGCATCACAACTCAGTTAATGCAACACTGTTCAACCTAGCGACGTGAGGTGACGTGACTGAAGAGCCTCTACCCCGGAATAAGATATAATTATGTGAAGGGTAGATAATGATCACTCTACGCGTGCCCTAGACCAAGTCGGCCTCTATGGACACGTAGCCAGAAACAAACATTTCGTAGAAAATCAGCTGTACTACTTTATCCGTCTGGCAACGCGGTAGAGAACGCGTGCTGGAAGTTTTGCAGCACTTCACTTCATACCGGAACAAAGGGTGTAGGGTGTGCGGTGTGGACCGTGATATTGTGCTGCCCGTGTGTGTGTGTGTTCACTTTCACACTGCCCACAGTAAACAACGCTGCTGCTGCTTTCTACATTACTATTCCTCCATCACACACATCGATTATCGTACAAATCCGCGCCTGTTTGGTACTGCCGTAGTAGCACATGAATGAAACGACACAGTTGGACGTCCACACACGAGAGAAAATGTGGAAACTGGGGATGGCTGGTCCTATTAATACTACCACACACAACACACATACAGTCATTCTTCACCACGACGAATATATGCGTGAGTTAGGCGAAGATTATGAGTAAATAAAACCCAGCACTTTATATTTATGATCACTTGCAACATCTAAGGCCACTGAAACATTGTGTACGGAAGAACTGCAAAAATAAAAGTTTAAAATCTGATCTTTATAATAAATAAACAAAATTTAATATGAATTTAATGTAAAAATTAAATTTCACTTGATTTGAATATATTTGTGAAACTAATATGATAATTTCTACGTAAAACCACATTCTCACACCTCACAACTACACCCTCACTACTACACTCCACACCCTCACTACCTACTCACACCCTCACTTTCACAGACACTCTCACACACACCCTCACCTACTACACACTCACACCCTCACACTACTACACTCACACCCCCACCACCACACCTCACACCCCCACCTCTCTCAAGACCACCACACACACCCCACCACCACACCCCACACACCCCCCACCACACACCTGCCACACCCCCACCACACACCCACAACCCCACCACACCACACCCCACCACCACACCCCACAACCCCCACCACCACACCTCACACCCCCACCACCACACCACACACCCCACACACCCACACACCCCTCACCACCACACCACACCCCCACCACACACCACACCCCTCACCACACCACACACCCCTCACAACCACACCTCACACCTCACCACTACACTCACACCCCACCACTCACACCTCACACACACCTCACTACTACACTCCACACAACTTCACCACTACACTCACACCCTCACCACTACACTCACACACCCTCACCACACACCTCTCACACACCACCACACACTCCACACACCCTCACCACACTCACACACCCTCACCACCACACCACACCCCTCACCACCACACTCACACCCCTCACCACACACTCACACCCTTCACCACACACCTCACACACCCCTCACCACACCACACCCCACCACACACCTCACACCCTCACCACCACACCTCACACACCCTCACCACCACACCACACCCCACCACCACACCCACACACCCTCATCACTACCTCACACCACCACTACACCACACACCCTCACCACTACACCCACACACCCTCACACACACCACACCCTCACTATTACACTACACCAAGCCACACCTGTCATTCTCACCCACACACCTCACACCTTCACCACACCCACACCCCTCACCACCACACCTCACACCCCCCACCACTACACCACACCCTCACACACACCACACCCTCACAACCACACCTCACACGTCCTCACCACTACACTCCACCACCCCTGCCACCACACCCACACCCCTCACCACACCACCACCCCACCACACCAACACCTCACCACCACACCCCACACACCCTCACCACACCACCACCACACTCACACCCCACCACACACCACACACCCTCACCACACACCACACCTCACCACACTCACACCTCACCACCACACTCACACCCCTCACCACTACACCACGCCCCTCACCACTACACTCACACCCCACCACACACTCACACCCCACACACACTCACCCCTCACCACACACTCCACACCCTCACCACCACACCCCACACCCTCACCACCACACCACACACACCCCACCACACACCTCACACACCCCCACCACCACACCTCACACCCCCCACCACACACCCACACCCCACCACCACAACTCACACACCACACACCCACACACCCCACCACACCACAACCCCCACCACACCCCACACCCCACCACACCCACACACCTCTCACCACCACACCACACCCCTCACCACTTACACTCACACCCTCACCACACACTCACACCCTCACCACTACACTCACACCTCACAACCTCACACTCACACACCCCACCACACACCACACACCCCACCACACACCTCACACACCCCACACCACAGCACCCCCACACCTCACCACACACACTCACCACAACCACACCCCCCACACCCTCACACACACCCACACCCCTCACCACCACACCACCCCTGCAACCACACCCACACACATCCCCACCACTGCACCTCACACCCCACCACCACACACCACACCCCACCACACACCCACACCCCACCCCCCACACACCCCACACCCCCACCACCATGCACACCCCCCACAACCACACCACACCCCACCACCACACCACACCCCACCACACACCCACACCTCACCACACACTCTCACACCCTCACCACTACACTCACACACCCCTCACTACTACACTCATAATCTCTCACACTACCACTCTCACACCTCACCACTACACTCACACCCTCACCACCACACTAATTCTCACACCCACTCCACACCCCACACACACTCACACCCTCACAACTACACTCACACCCCCTCACAACCACACCTACACCCTCACAACCACACCTCATTAACCCCTCACCACTACACCTCTCCACACCCTCACAACCCACTCACACCCCCTCACTATTACACTCCACACCTCACAACCACACTCACACCCTCACCACACACTCCACACCACAACCACACCCCACACCCTCACTCACACCCACACCCCTCACAACTCCACCCACACCCCCTCACTATCACACCACACCCCACAACCACACTCACACCCTCACTACTACACTCACACCCTCACTACTACACTCACACCCTCACTACTACACTCACACCCTCACAACTACACTCACACCCTCACAACTACACTCACACCCTCACAACTACACTCACACCCTCTCATTGTTCTGTTATCATAGTCTCTAATGGTAGATGGTTCCATAGGCCTACCATACTGTTTGAATAACTGTCTTACACTTGTACTTAGGCCTATGACCTCTTAATTCAGGAATAATTTTGCAGTTAACAGGTGGTGTACTTTTGCCGATGATGTTAGGTAATGGCTCTTTTGGTGTGAGCTCTTAGGTTTGAGAGTGAAAGAGTGATTTGTGGTGATGAATGAGCTTACCCCATTTACTGTGCTGCTTTCAATGATTGGTATATTACAATGTCCAAGTCCTTATCTACAGGTTTTTTTTGGAAGTATTGTTTACATATTAGTTGTTATTCCGGTCATTGTTCATTTGCTAGTCCTGTGACCATCTAAAAGGTAAACCATTTGTATAAACACAATATCTTCTTCACTTGCCATCTTCCCATAAATCTTTGTATAGTGTATAATCTTCAATATCATCATCCTTGTCATTGTTTTACAGCTGTCCATGCTGGTTGGTGTCTTGCAGCCTCTTTGTCAGGTTCTTAACTCCACTCAAGTCAGTTCTTACGACCTATCCTCATGTTAGTCTTGATCTGCCCCTGCCTCTCCTCCCATCGAAAAATTAGACTCAACCACCTTTTGATCCAGTTGGTCTCATCCACCTTTTGATCCAGTTGGTCTCATCCATTCTTTTCACATGCCTATACCAACTCAGTTTACCACTCTGCAAAACTTTACCAATACAGTACTCTCAATAACCAGTCACACTCTTGGCTCTGAAGAGTTTTACTATTTGGGTGACTTGGTCAGTGCTGGGTGGTGCTGAAGCTATACCTCAGTTGAAAAAATAAGAAGTAGCTGGAGGCAATTTAGAGATTTGCTATCTTTACTGACAGCAAGAAAGATGTTTGCAATTGGAGCGAGAAGTGTGATGTTAGTAGGAGAGTAAGACAGAGGATTGGTCAAGATGAAATGAGAATGGTGATGAGGATGGGTAATGTGACAGTGAAAGATAGGAAATCCCTTACAAAACTAAGAGGACAGCCGTGTATTGCAAACATTGCCAAGGTTTTGTATAGAGTGAGGCTGAGATGGTTTGAGAATGTGAAGAGAATGGAGACTAATTGAGTCTAAATGTGGGGGGAGGAGAGCCAAGGGTAGGCCAAAAATAACATGGGGTTGAGTTTGTAAGAAGTTACAGTTATTGAACCTCAAAGTTAAGAACATTGGTGTAGATTTGTTGTGATTTAAGGGGGGATGACTTCCAAGACTTGTAGAAATGTGGCTCTGAATATAATCATAAAATATATATTGTACGTCATTTTACAAAGCATAATGTTTTTCTAACTGAAACAGTAGTCATAATGTATTCACTAAAAAGATAGAATGAGCTGTACTGTATATAGGCTAAAAGTTTTCACAAATAAAAATAAAAGGATTGGAATACAGAAGAGGCAAAATGTAAAGCGATATTTACAGAAATATCAATGAAGTGAGCAAGAAAAGGAGACATAACTGAGAAGAGATTATGGAAAAGTAATTAGATCCTATTAGAAACAGAAGTAAACAAAAGAGGGTAGAGGATGTCACAGAACTCTATAATTGAGATCAGAAACAAAGGAGGAATAAACCTGAACCTAATACTTTTGGAAATAGAAACTGAGACACCACTGTTAGCAAAAAATTAAAAATAATAAGGCTTTTGGGGTGATCAGCTTCCCAATCAATCTCTAAAACAAATGGGCAAGACTGGGATTAAATGTTTCACTGAAATATGTATTTCTATTTACCACAAAGGAAAATTCTCAAGTGATTTCAAAGGCATACATATAAAATTTGATTTGATTCACTTAAATACAAAATAACTGAAAATACACTATGGTGGTTTTATTAACTATCCTTAATCAAATTACCCTGCTGTTTAACTGTCTAGGTACTCTACACTGGAAAAGTCTATGTACACTGTAAACCTGTAATGTCATTAAACAATGCTGAACTGTATACAACCCTACCTGCATTGTCTACAGTATATATTGTACAGCATATGCCAAACCAATTGTAAACATGTATTAGAATGTTACCTCCCAAAAATATTATCATTATTATTATTAAAGTTTTATTAGTAGTAGTACAGTAGTGTTACAGTACAGGTATTAGTATCATTAGACTACATTAGAAGTTAAAAGAATCTAAACTAGCTAATATGGACACAGAACAGAAGACGTGGAATGTTTAGAATATTTTGGATTGGAAGTGTGAACTGATGAATTAAGGAGTGAGGAAGAAAGTAACAGTTAGAGTGAGAAATATACTGTGAGAAAGAAAGTAACAGTTGGAGTGAGAAATATACTGTTTAGTATTACTATTGCACTGTACTGTATACCTGCACTGTATAGGTACAATGGAAACTCTATACCTGCATTGTCTCGGTACAATGGAAACTCTATACCTGCATTGTCTAGGTACAGTTCTGTTCAAAAGTTCGCAATACATTGGTGGTGTAGTTAAATAGCAGGATATTAACACATCTTCATCATTCACAAGCAGTAACATTGGCTATTATTCATATTAGCATCCGTTTTTATATTTTTGGGATGCGTCTTTGTTCGAATCAAATTGTTCTATTGCCAGTGCCATTTTGTGTGTTGGTGGGAGGTTCGGCTATACACCCTCTACGGTCAGTGTACGTATCACCAACTTTTGAATAAAACCTCACATGCCTAACCAACTTTAACCCTTTGAGAATGATGACTTAAACTTGCATGATTATTTTATTGAATATACAGTGTACCATTGATATTAATACTGTATTATTTTTATTATTATTATTATTATTATTATTATTATTATTATTATTATTATTAAAGCAGCATATATTAATATGAAGCAAGAACTCTGAATGGAAGAGGAAAAAATTATAGGCAACAGTAATGGTGAGTTTAAGAACAATGTAGAAATAAACAGGAGGCAGAGAATTAAGGAACAGAAAGGAGATGTGGAAATGAAATATGAGTTAGCCAGGAAACATCTTTTAAAGCCATAAGAATGTTTAAAACACACCAGATGAAGATAAATGTATGTGTATTTACTCTTGTTCCCTGTGACCATGAATTAAGCAGGTAAATTATTAAGAAAAAGGGTAATTACAGTATTGCCTTAATTTTAAAATTACATCTAAAATATCTGCACATGTATTACTCAAGACACCTACAGTACAGTATTTATAGATACCTGTACCTCCTATGTATTATCTTTTATCTAATGTCTAATAAAATTACAAGTATCTTTTTATAAGTACTGTACAGTAATACAGTACTATTTTCTACTTGTAATATAGGACACAAATGATGATGCTCACACAACACAGCTACCTCAGATGTTCATTTTGAAGGAGATTCCATGATTTTGACATCACTCCAATACTCCTTTCCAATAACCTCACGGCTATATTTGGCCACATATTTCTTTTCGGGGTCACCCTCTGAGAAGTAAGCCTTCAGGAATGGGAGCTCCATCATGTGGGGTTTATACCTGAACAGTAAATATATCCAGCAGTCAATTTCCTCCTCAGAGTCTTGTAAGATGATCTTATCTATCTGCAACAACAAAATTAAAAATATCAGACATTTCTTCATGGCAGGGAGAGACACAATCATGAAGTATAACATAATACAGTTAACCCAAGGCTGTGGTAAGAAAGCTTTGGTACTGTAGTTTACATCCATGGCTCAAGTACTCATCAGGGAAACTCTTCTTAGGGATTAACACTTGTTTACTACAGTACAATAAGATGTGTTCCATATGCTCCCAAGCCATGAACAACACCTGGTAGAAGCACACCCATGTTTCACTCATCCAACAGTTCACCGGGCAGAAGGAAAATTTACTCATCAGTCTTTAACTCTTATTTATACACTTTTACAGTTATTTCAAGTTATTATTATTAGTATTGTAAATATAATGTATAATAACCAGTGGCAGGTATTACTGAGATACACGGTAAGAACTGCTCATAATATAAAATGATCATTAAAAGGATTTTCTTGGTAGACAATCATTTTCTCAAAATAAATTTATTCATATTTTTGTAAATATGTAAAACAAAAACCAATCCACATTACTATACTGTATATATAATTCAAATGAATTTAGTTTAAACTTGTAGTGAAAACTTCATTGACCAGCACTTGTAATTGTTAGTTCAGCAATGGAAGGCTATTCATCCATTTCCTCAACCCTACACTTGTACTCAAGCACTTCCTCTCATATCTAAATAAATATGATTCACACCAACCTAATACACTATGATGATACTCAAGTGATCATAAATAAATTTGTCTTGTAAACAGTTTCCTGAACCATGTTTAAAGCAGCACAGGTAAGCCAACCTTTGGGATCAGGCAGTAGTCAGCAATGTCTTTGACGGTATTGACATTATCATTTACTGAATCTTCTTTACTTTTTTAATCACGCTCAATATATGATGCAGTTGTGGATAAGTGACTTATTGCACTAAATATATAGCGAAGGTATATACTGTACAGTACTTTGTCTATTGACTTTTACTTTATCCTCTTTGCAGTGGCATATACCATAAGATGGGCTTCTCTGGGACCCACAAGCAGCTGTTCCCTAGATATTTGAGGATTGTACTTAAAAATGCTGAGGTACACAGATACAGTCATTCTCATCACTCAACAAGAGGAACATATTCAAGTCATATAATACCACTGAGACACTCCTTGACAGGAACAACACACACTGATCCAGGACCAGCATACGTACCATTCTCTACATTCCTGTCTGCGGCCCTAGTGAGTGGAAGCTTCAGTATAATTTACCTCTTGCCACACTGAGTTTTGTGTGTGAAAAATAAATAATATTGTATTACCTGCACAGTGCAGAAATATTGCTCTGGCAGAGGCCTCTGTTCAGTTGGAGGCTTTCTCCCCTGTCAATGGACTTTAATTAATTTCTAAGTACCTACGTACTCACGTACTCATTAACTGGTTGTGTTGGGTTGAGGGCAGTAGCAAAATGAAGGGCCACGGCCTCATGGCCCTCTTGTATATGTCACTGCCTTTTTGCCACTGAATGGGCTGCTAGCAACTTGGTCATGTCTCTGTTACACACTGTTGGCAAGTAATGGCTCCAGAATTATCATTATTATTATTATTACATTTTCGTCCCCAGTAATGTACAGTAACGTATCAGTACAAAACCTACATGGTTTATATATTCACAGTGAACTGTATAACTGTATAGTTTATTGTCAACCTGTATGACAACATTAGTGAACAAATATCATTATTGTTATTACTACCTAGGAGCCTAAAAAGTTAGTTCTTGCAGCTGCACTGGAATATCTTACACAGAAGAGAGCCATTGTTATCTTTAAACCAGCCTGATAGCCATCTAGTGTAATTTTACAGTCTTAGTTATATTCATGCCCTAAAAATATTAAAAATATTGTGTCAAATCTATGCAACACTGTACTGTACTGCGAATTATTCTGTCTTGTATCTCTGCCATAAGTAGATTATGAACAGTCATCTTGCTTCCTTGTGCACAGAAAAAAGGCTTAGTCAACTTTTTCTAAGATAAGAATCAATCATATTAACATGATACCTGTACTTGTGTATTGGGTAAAGCTTATTGATCAGAATCATGTAGTTCTAGACCTTGAGTTGGATACCAAATGAAACTGGATGCTGTAATGGGTGAAGCACTGGTTCACAAGAATGACTGACCATTCATTAAAACAAAAAACTATGTTTAACAGTCAATGCTAAATAACAGCCTCACCTTCCGTTCATAATATTCTGGATGACATTCCAAAATGTCAAGCACTCCCAGCATTTTATTGTCTACTTCATAAACTTCTCCTTGAACGTGCTGAAAAAATACAAGTTCAGTAAGAAACAGAACTGAAAGATTGACATCAACAGAGAAGGAAGATACATTTATTCTTCTCACAGGCTTCATGATGTACACAATGTAAACATAGAGCTACAGTACATACAGCAGAGAAAAGTCTTCAGCTACTTGTTATAATAGTTCCTATACAAGTATGTAGTCATTTTCCATTGTTAAAAGTCCTACAATAAATGAAATGCTGAATTTAATATAAGAATGTGAGTTTGATCATGATACAACAAATAACAGAAAAACATTTGTGTAAAAGCTAAGTGGAAAAAAAAAAACTTTATGTGATACCTTAGAATAAAAGACAAGAGGAAGAATGTACAACAAATGAGAGGAAAAAACTTTTGTGAAATAGGTAATACAAAGAAACATTGCATAAAAGATTAGTGAAAACCCTGTGTGAGAGATAAGAGATGAGTGGGATTATGTGTACCAGACAAATAAGTGGAACCTTTATACACACTTCCCCATTTCCTGGAGCAGGCAAGAGGTAAGGGATGTTGTAGCGCGAGCCAATGACCAGTGGGTACTTCTGCCGAGTTGTGCCGGTATTAATTAATTTAGCCGCCCCATTTTCTTTATTCATCAGCAAGTTGTGGTTCGGTTGATTCCGCTTCAAGGTCCCATACACGAAGACCAAATTGAAAGACATTGTTCTGTAAAATTTCCAGATAATTTTAGTGCTGTACATAAGCTGTAAAAATTATTCATAGAATTATAAATGAATAGTTATTAATAAGAATAACTTTACACTTACAAACCGTAAGACTGCTTCGTCGTTAAATTTTTTATCCGAGTGCAAGACAAAACCCAAGACAGAATCACGGGGTCGTATCACTCAATGGAATCACACACAAAAGAGGATTTAGGGAGTTATTAAATAGAAAGTATTACCACCATGTATAGAACACTCAAAAAATCTATCTGTACTTAGGGTGATCAATGAATTTCAGAATGAGCACTGTGACTCCTGTTGTCTTGGAAGGGTTGTCAAAATCCTTCGTCCATTGTGTCAGATTTTTTCAACACAATTTTTGCGTGACTGTACATGACTCCCATTCAACCCTTGTCAAACCATTGTATTTTGGTGTTTTCCAATAGTAATATTAAAAAGCATACCATGATAATAGTAAGTAAAAGTAAAAAAGGTAAAAAATAAAAATAAAGTAAAGTAAATATGATAATTCATCCCAATGTGTTAATGCTGCAGAAAACTTTAAGAAATGTTATGATGCACACTGAATAAATAATCAATCTGGGTATCTAAAACAGACAAATATCTATACTGACAATTACACAGGCAGTATAAACTATCTCTAACTGAACATTAATATACATCTGTGTGTCATTGGCAAGTCTATCCTGTGAAAGTGAGAAGACTAGTAATTCCCACATTATTATAAATTAAAAGTGCAGGTGAGTACGATGATGTTATCCCTCCGATATTTTCTCTGTTCGGTTATAAATAAAATGACGCCAAAACAAATACATTTCAAAAGGTCCCTCCGAAGCACTGTAGACACAAAAACAATATACTCACGGTACCTGTAAATAATAGTGAAAGCCTCTGTCCGATGCCCATTAAAGATGACAACGGACAAACCCAATAATCACCGATTAATGAGACGCTGGAAATAACAGTAATACAATAGACGTAACTCATAGAAACGACCCGGGTCCGGGATAGTTTCTGAAGAATATTTGTTTCTTAGCTCATGAATAGAAAAATGAGTGTGAAGAAATTACAGATGTCTTAATTTTGGTTTTTCCTTTCTCTTTGTTACCAGTGAGTGCCCCTTAGACTGCCACAGGAACCTCAACTTTTCTCCTGCAATGTATATTATTTATTGTAGGTAAGATAGACTAATCAGACCTACCTAACGTAACCTAACCAGACCTTCCTAACCTAACCTAACCTAACCTAACATAACCTGACCTAACCTAATATGAAAGGAGTGAAAGGTTTAATTTTGTTTTCTATTTTAGGTTAATTTAGGTAGGTCTAGTTAGGAAGAAAGCAAGCATAGCATTCCATGTAACTTGCTTCGTATTCACTGTAAGCAAAAAAAAAATGGAAAACAAAAGCATTAAAGGTAAAATTTTAGTTTCGATCATCCCTGAATTTAGGTATCCAAACCTAACCTAACCTAGCCTAATCTAACCAACCTAACCTAACCTAGCCTGATCTAACCAACCTAACCTATTCTAGCCTAACCACAGAACCCAGTAGCTTTATCTAAGCTAACCTAACTTTTACTCTTTACTTTTATCCTCTTCACCACTGATTGGCTCGTTAGCCGCTTGAGCGATCGGTCACGTCTCTGTCACGCACTGTTGGCAAGTACTGGGCATGCACCGGTTCCTGAATGTACCTGAACCCGCTCCAGTGTTGGTCAAGTCTGGTCTTGAAAGAGCTCACACTCGGTGCCGTCACAACACTCCCTGACAGATTGTTCCTAGAGTTTAAAAATATCTCTGAGAAGAAAAAACAAGAAATGAAGATTCAGGAAAATACATTAGTACTGAGCATGAACTTGCTTCTGAATATATGGAACCTTCTTGAATATATCTAAACCTAAATCCCTAGGACTCCCTAAACGACCAAAACTAAAATAACACCACATTAAATTTACACTTCCTTTACCTATTTCTCTTTACTCAAGGATAAGACAAAATTTCGTCTCTAAAAATAATTTCCTGATGTAATACTTAGCGAGAATGGTCCACCCTTATTATCATCTTATGGAAATATTTCTATATATAATGAAAGCTTTCTTACCTTGGGAAAATAACAAAAAGTGCAAGAGGAATATTTTCTATGTACTGTAATAAAGATATTTTTTACTACTCTAATCTGTTCCTTCCCACTAGTGCCTTATCAGTCATGTCTCATCACAATCACATTGAAGGTGAAAAAGAAAAAGTACATTATACAGCAGTGAATGGGGTTATGATATTTTGTTGTCTTATTTTGAACTTGAATTACGTTATTGAGACAAAAGGCTGTGTGTTATTACCTCCAAGGACTATTGTTGGTTTGTGATATAGCCAGCAGCATGCCCCTATAGGCTGACATCCGAAAAAGTTTGCCCCTTGCCCGTCTGTAGTATAAGCTAGGCAAGTTCAGGGTAGCCGAGGTGCCGAGTGCAGGCACCAGTCTGGTGGCCCTGCTTAGAACATTTTCAGCCAACTGACAGTCCTTAGCATATTTCGGGGACCAAACGGGGAAGCACCTCGCTCTTAAAGATCGTTACGAGGGATGGGTCGTTTAGATATCTGAACGACCTTCTTATAAGACCCAATAATTTATTTGCCTGATTAACCTTCTTCTCACAATGGGACGAGAACTTCAGCTCATTGTCAACATACACACCTAGGTCCTTCTCACATCCAGTCTCAATAGTGCAGTTTCTTCATATGATACGCCTCCTTACCGTTGGTACGCCCCAGGTGCATCCTCTTACAATTTGTTACTTTGAATCTCAGCAGCCATTTCTTGGACCATTCTTGGAGCTCACAGAGATCCTTCTGCAGCTCTTCACAGTCTGCTTGGTTCTTGATTTCCTGAAATAACTTGGCGTCATCGGCAAACATTTGTATGGAGGAGTGTACAACTTAAGGCATGTCATTTATGAAACAAGTTGCTTAGCACACCGTCAGGGAGTGTTGTGACGGCACCGAGTGTGAGCTCTTTCAAGACCAGACTTGACCAACACTGGAGCAGGTTCAGGTACATTCAGGAGCCGGTGCATGCCCAGTACTTGCCAACAGTGTGTAACAGAGACGTGACCGATCGCCCAAGAAGCTAACGAGTCGATCTTTTAGCGAAGAGGTTAAAAGAAAAGAAAAAGTAATCAGAGACGTGACCGACCGCCCAAGCAGCTAACGAGCCGATCAGTGGCGAAGAGGATAAAGCAAAGTAAAAGTAAAAAACCAAAACATATATTACAGTTAGGGCTATTTACTCGTTTTCTGTTATCAATAGGCTGTATATTCGAGGGAAGCTAATCTTAACTCTCAACCATTAGAATAACTCTTATCAATAATGTCTATAATGGTACTTATGATTGATACTGGGATGCTGTATAAAGGAGTCCTGAATAAATACCCTCTTTACTTAAACAATTAACAAAAATTAATTCGTGGCTCCGGTTTTATCTATGTATCCCCACTGAAAACGGATTTATCTATCTTTTTTATCCCATTATTTTCATGATGTTTAGTTATTGGTATATGTGCACTCTCAGTTTATGCCAACTCTCTCCCTCCCTCTGTTGTCCTCCACTGACAGGAGCCACGTGTTGTCCATCTACGGGTATTTAATTTATCTTTGCGTGTTGTTCCTACAACTATTTACCGAAAGAGGTAGGAGGCTTAATCATTATAGTTAGTACCATTAGTAAAATCATCATTAAGTAAATATATTTTTATCAAATATTGTAGAGGTTTAACCTTCAACATGGACATATCCAAATTTAATGTGTGTATTCCGCCATTGGCCATTCATTACATGACTGTACAGTACTACAAAACTACAAATTAAAAACATTTTCATTCACATGTGTGAAGGAAATATTACTGGGCATGTACTAATACTGGCTCCAGGATGGAACAATGTGCCGGAGAGTGTTGTGAGCCAAGTGAGAGCTGTTTCAACACTGTTGAGGCGAGAGACAAAGGGAAGTGTCATGGGTGTCACCTGGGTTGGCCTGGCTAGGTTAGCTTACTGGAATGAGGGAGCAGGTCTTGATGATAACCCAAGTTGAGCAGCTCAGTATACAGGGACAGTACAGTACAGTGATGTGTGAAATACTTTGTGTTTATATTTATTTCCAACGTTCAATGATGTTTTTAGTGACCTTTGAATTATTTTATATATGATAATCCATTGCAATCCTAGCATTATACAGGGGGGCGGGGGGGTATTAGCCAATGGTACAATCAAGGTCACCTGACAACTTTGTAGGCTATCCTCCCCCATGGTCAAATTTCCTTACTGTTTACCATTGTTGTATACCTGCACTGTATAGGCACATAGGAACCTGTATACAGTATTCCCACAAACACCATATACTGTACGTACCTACATTGTCTATATTCACACTGAACAGTATAACTGCATACTTTATACAAATGGCTATTCAGTTTGTAAAGCTGTATGACAATTTTACAGAATCAATTTTATTACATGTACAGTATTACAGTTATATCTGTTAATTGGAATTGAAATTTGCTTGGAAATTTGTTGAAAAATTTCTCACAGTTCTGGGTTTGGGAACGATTTTCCAAGGTTGAAAATCAGGCGCAATTTCTGGAAAATTCCCAGAAAAATCTCGGGTCTGTTTTTTTCAGGTCTGGGAACAAATTCTAAGGATGAAATTCTTTATTGCGCAATTTCCGGAAAACCCAGAAATTTTTCCCAGTACCCCAAAAAATTCCGGGGAGGGGGATTTTTTCCGGGTTTGAGTGTAAACTTGTTATCTGGAAATTTCTCATTCGCAGAAGTGCTCTGCACCAATTGTTCCAGCTAACGGAGTTATTGGCCTGTCATGTGATGAAGTGTTGCAAATATTTGGGCAGTCTCTCGATGAACAGCGGGAGTTAACATTTGAAAACATGATCATATCTGCAGTCAAATGAAAATTCAGTACATCGCTTGCTATGTTGTATGAAATGTTTCAAGACAACACAGTAATGCAGTTACAAACTAATAAAACTATTGATCAGGAGATCAGTCATATGTAAAAAGAACAAGAATGTTGATGTAAAGTGTTGGAACATTTAATTTTGATATGTAAAGTATTATAAAAGGCATTTTAATAAAGGAACATTCTGCTAATTGACAGTGTGTGTGTGTGTGTGTGTGTGGAGGAGAAAAGAAAAAAGTGTGGGCAATTCGTCCTCCCATGGCTAAATAATACCCTGACTCACCTTTGTGTCCTCTTACCATCAGTAATTAAGGTAAATATTAAAAAGACTCATTTTCAATGTATTTATTCTTTGTTATTACAACTTTTCAATGGTGCATAGTAATGAACCTTGTGTGAAAAATCCACTACTTGATGAACATTTTCTTTCCCCAGAACATGACCCCGATAACACACATGTTCTACCATTTGATATACTGTATTATTTTATGAATACATGGGATGGTAAAGGAAACCCTCCCAAGTCCTCCCAATAAGGAACAGGGCTTGCATGAATTGGTTCAATATTGGGAGGGTTTACCGTATATCATAAGTTCATAGGACTCTGGTTCCAAATTTACAAGATATAGTCAGAAGCCGTAATTGCTGCTTCTGGTTGTACATCTGTAGCATTGGAAGCGTTAAAAGTCATCAAATTGTAATATATACTCAGTATACAAATATGGAGGCTTTATCCTCAAATCCCATTTTATAACCAAGTCTGAATTGATAATTTCACAGTTAGCAAGAGTAGGGTGTTAAAAGTCTCAGGGACCTGACTTAAGGGACTGAGATATATAAAATATATTAATTTAAAAATTAGATGATGCTAGCTCATCATAACTGACTCCCATGAAGTACTGTACCCATTCATGTGTTCACTTTATTAAACATCAAATACCAGAAACTGACCACAACCCTGCAGGGTAAAACTTAACTAGTTAAAAGTAAGACATAAAGGAAAAATCTTAAGCACCCTTTGAACAAGCCACTGCTAGCTGAAGTACAATACAGGGGGTCGCTGGGCTCCATTCCTGAGGATGTTCTTAAGTCGAAAATGTACCGTACTTAAAGAACAATGTTTAAAATTCCACCCTGTCATAGCCTAAGTCTTTATATACATCTAAAATCACTTATTTTAAGAGAAAAGAAGAAATAGAATGACAAAATATAGTAAATGAAAGTAAAAAATAAGTCATCAGGTAAAAATGAAATTTAGTTGAACCTCGTTCAAAAGTCGGGGACCCCCATGTAGCTACTTCTCTTATCTTGGCCTAACCTAAGGTGACTTACGAAAAGTTCCCCAAGTCTGGGAGAGGAACACCTTAACCTAACTCCTGGTTGCCAAAGCTCTTGAGGCTAACTCCCCGGAATGTTTCTGGGTGCTGGGGAAAGTTTTCAGAGTTTTTAAAAAAAATGAGTCTATGAAGGACACGCACTACAGTGCTTGACGGGAGGTGTGGCTTTAAAATGAACTAATTTCAATAATATACTGTAAATTAATTTTATTTGAATTTGTTAATTTTACTGCCACACTCCCCTTCAAGTACTGTACTACGGTGTCCTTCACGACTCATTTTTTTAAAACTGGGGTTGAAACACAACGATCCCCGTCAACAGAAGAGGGTGATTAAAACTCCAGCTGTAAGAGTTTAAACTACGCATCTTCTCTTGACTGTAAACTATGCATCTCATCATCTCACGGACAAAATCTCCCATTACGATTAGACCGTGGGCACGAGTGAAAATTCTTAGGGCTAGTGAAAAAGTGTATAAACTATTATTCACAGCATCTGTTTCAATAGTGTTGGAGAGATTAATTTGATACCATAATGATCCAGACTAAACTCTACAAGACTGTTCCAATAAAACTTCCTTAAAACAAAATATTTCAGCACAATATAATGATGGAGACTCAGTTCTTTTATGATAAGAACTGTTGATGACAGAGTTTAAAAAATCGATTTGAACTAAGTTAGATCCACCATTTTTTTTTTACTAAAATAATCCTGAATAGTTCATCTAAAAGTTTGATGAAATAAATAGAGTATATTTATAAAAAAAAATCTATATGATATGAGCCGTCAAATGAAGGTATTTTTGAGGCTCACAAAAAAGTGTATAAACTTTTATTTTGATAAAGCATCTGTTCTAATTTTGTATCATAATGATTCTGAATAAATTCTAAACAAAAATATCCTTAAACAAAACATTTTGACACAATATAAAGTTGGGACTCCATTCTTTTATGAAAAAAAAAGCAAGAAATGTTTATACCGCAGCAACACAATTCTTACACTACAATATCTCCATTTTTAAGGACAACCTCACACTAAAGGTCATCCTTTGTGAATCCAATATAAAGGTGTTGGGTGACTTAATTTTTAAAATGACTTGACTTTTTTAGGTCCCAGATGAACAAGTGAGACCCAGGGAATTAATCCATACATTAAGTTATAAATATACAGCATCACTTAATTTTTATGTCGAGTAATTTACATGTTCCTCATTATTACTCTTTGTATGAAGTATACAGGCTAGGTTCATCCACAGCAAACCCAGAAAATTTTCATAAAATTATAACAAATGTTTAATTACGGTAAAGAAATCTGTACAGTACAGTAGTATTAGGCCATCAACGGTTTTTGATACGCACGACCTTCTTTTTACATGTTTCATATGATATAGTATTACCTGAAAGTCTGGAGATAGTTCTACTGACATCAATAATATTTGCTCTTTCCTTCCAAAAAATTATGAGAAGTGATGCTGAGAGGGGATTCTTTATGTTCTCTTGTAAAGCATCACTGTTTTCATGTATAAATTTCATAAACTCTTTATACTGTAAGTCACTGTCTGTACGAGAGTCAAAAAGACCATCGATAGTTTTCTTGGCATACAATCCAAAATTATCCTTTGTAAATCCTTCCAATGTGACCAATATGTAATCTAATTTATATGATTTTGTTAACTCAATTACATTTTCTGTACACTCGGGACGTGCAGAAATAATTATACGATTTCTGTTTGATTTAATGTGATGTGAAAATACTTCTTCAATTAGCTTTCTGCCATGGTGAGTTGCTTCATCCATACTGTCAATGATAAAGCCGGTGTTTATCTCGCAAAGCACAGGGAGTAAATAATTGGGGTCAACATTCCGACATGTGTTCTTCAAAAGATGGCCATGCAAATAATCAGTGAGGGTGCCTGAGTTAATGCTTTTCATATCCAGTAACATGAGTAGATCTGTTTTCAGAAGCTCCTCAATTCTTTCAGACCCATTTGACCACTGTGCCATGATATATCGACAGAGACAAGTCTTCCCTATACCGGGAGCACCAGTGATGATCAGAACTTCTGGACATACTCGGTCTCTTGGAGGAATCAACTTCCCTTCCTCGTACATTACTTCTCTAGTTAAGATATTTTCCAGTTTCAAATCCTCACCACTTTCCATCATCCTTACAGGTGTAAAATTGTCCACAAATTTAGACACAACTTCTGGGTCATCGTTCATCAAAAGGGCACTACGAACTTCTAAATAACAGTGTAAGGTCTTCCCTTGTGAGACCTTTTGTAAGGTCTTTCCTTGTGAGACCATCTGTGAGGTCTTTTCTTGTGAGCTCTTCTCTTGTGAGATCTGTGAGGTCTTCTTTTCTGAGACCATTTGTGAGGTCTTCTTTTGTCAGACCTTCTCTAAGCTCTTCTCTTGTAAGACCTCCTCTTGTAGGACCTCCTATTGTAAGACCTCCTCTTGTAGGATCTCCTATTGTAAGACCTCCTCTTGTAGGATCTCCTCCTGTAGGACCTCCTTATGTAAAACTTATACTTTTCTGCTTCTGTTCACTCACAAAATTGTCTTTTTTATTTTTTTGTGCAAACTCGTGGATGGCTGTCATATAATTTATGCACTATACACAACTCATTAACACTTAGTGGCTCAGCCTTGTCTATACTTGAAAAGTTCACAAATTTCAATGAGAAGGATGAAATATTGGTCGCGCAATCCCTTCAATTGTGTGAGAGAGCCTCACCATCAATGGCATCCTAGTAGAAGTTTTCATTGGGACCTTTTATGCTTTTCATAATGCCAATAACTGCTTCAGATATACAAAGATCAGGGAATATATTAAAGAAGAGCTTATGCAGTAATAACACATCACAATCAGCTGTTGATATATTCTCTGCCAACTTGTTTCTCTCACTTTCATTGAATTGGCTCTTGAATTTCTCTTTCTCCCATTTAAGTACTTTGAGACAAAAGTCCTTTACAGACAGTGGGGCTGATGAGAAGACGTGGCTCCTTAAATAAAAGAGCCAGAAGACCTGTAATGTAGTGATGTCAATTAGGGACAATGTGGAAAAAATACATAAAGGCAGAGAGAAAATAAAGAAGAGTGAAGGAGTAAGACAACAAGAAGAGGCTTCAATGAACTGATGTTGATGTTATAATGTTATTACTGTAGCGCTTCAACAAATGAAGCCATCAAGCGAGTAATAATGTTAGTAATTACAACAGTACGTCAACAAATAAAAATTACGAGAGATGATAGGGTGATGATGTAAGGAATAATAAAAGATAGGTGACAAAGGGTGGAGGAGGAAAAATAAAATGGGGGAGCAAAAGTAAAAAGGGAGGGAGGGAGAAGGAAATAAAGATGGAATAAAACAGAAATAAAAACCTATATTTTCTTACGTACTCTCCCTGTTTCCTTCATAATATTTTAGTCCTTTTATCGATTCTCTTTAAAATGTAAGGGTCATTGTGGTCGTTCTATCTTCTGGCAGCCTGTGTATTAGAGGGACACTGTAATTGCCGAGTTTTTTTTCGGTATCCATATGTCTTGATAACGTAGGCATGGTTTGATATAAAAATTCACTATCACAGCGTCTCTAGGAGTGTGAGTTTGTTATAGGGCCAAGTCTGACCAATCATATACAGTAGTCGGGGAAGCAGCAGGGGGGCAAACTCTAATTATACTAGAAATGTTGTAAGATGTATCTACCTGTACTTTAATTATCTTTTTGTTAGATTAGTTATTATTCTCTTTCTGGGGTTCCTAATAATACTTCATTGATAGAGGGTACACAAATGATAAATTTAAATATCCAAGTATAGTTACATGCAATCAAACTATAGTATATTTGTTACGCTCGTGTCTAGAACAATGAAAATAAACCTAAAATTACACCAACTTTCAAATATATTGGGAAGCAACATATTCATAAAATAAAAGCAAAACAAATGTAGTGGAAAGTTCTGACCTCATACTGTTGGGGACCAGATTTTTTTTAATCTACTTTCATGGAAATTATTGACAGTTATAAGAGTGTAAATCTACTACAGTGAATTAATGTATATCAAGCATGTCACTTACAAAACCAAGTTGTGGAGGAAGTGTGACAAAAGAGCCAGTGGTTGTTGGATGTAGGACAGTTGGATATCTCAGTTTGATAACACTCTGGTCAGTGTCAACACGCTATTGTTTCTCATTTGGCTTCAGTATTTATTGTGAAATCAAGTGTAATCTGCATAATCTAATATATACTCTGTATTGATCACAGCAGTTGTGGGTCCCAGCTAGATAGTGTTTGCTCACTTCACTAGCACCATACTGCACTTGTGTTTTGGCATAAATTCACCCATGTCCAAACCTTATGGTACAAAGATTCCTAGAAATATCATCTGTAACTTTGAGGAAGGTTCCATTAGGGTACTGACATCACCAACAAGACAAATGATGCATACTACATGTATTTAGAACCTCTTGTCTTTTAGTTATATGACAAAACATTGAGAGGGGCAGATCATCCCTGAAAGAATCTTAATCATTAATCCTTACCTCTTTTAAAAATCCTTTGGTGGCATTAGTGTTCAACTCACAGCACTTGGAAATTGTATCATCGGTGAACACTGGTGACAGCAGCATGTAGTAAGGTAGAAAAGTCCATATCAATGAGGAGAACTTTGTAACACCAGTTTGGTTAAGGCATAGTGACATCACGTGTAGGTTACTATTGTGGATGACGATGTTACGGTACTTCTGGTGTTATACCGAACAGCAAAACTCCATCTTGCAATAAGAAAGACACGGCTCGTCCTACATGTGGTCTCCAGGCCTGCACGTCCTGAGGAGATTAAATCATCTTAGCCATTGAGCCACATTATATAACAGGAAACCTAATTAATCATAATGAGAGGATGTCATGGTTTATTTACTGTAGCATCTTCAGCTTAAATGATATACTGTACAGTAATCATGGAAATAATCGTGAAATAAAAATTGCCTGTTTGTATAGAGGCACCGACCCCTTTAGGTGAATTTGTTTACAAATTTCATCAAAATCCTGAATGTGGTTTTTTGAGTTATGTGCTGTGCCAGTAATGGAACTCTGACAGGTGTAAGGAGTGACAGAACCCACTGCTATATCCTCAATAACCTTGGTGAGCGAGGCTACTTATAAAAGACAAGAGGTTAAAGACAAATAAATTAAATAAGAAATTAAAATCTGGGCCCAAGACATATATAAAATGTGGGAGGATAGATAAAGACAGCCGGGTAGACACTGTCGTCTTCACGTCTAGCTGTGAAAATGATGCCAGGAGAACTTGATGAAGTCTTAAAGGTGGTAAATTTTACTAATGCTAGATACCTCAATTCTTAAGAGTTCACTACTCTGTCCCAGGAGATGGGTTCAGTGTATGTATATTGTTTTATTAATACACACTGACATATGTTGACTATCACCAGACAAAATACTTTCACTTGGAGCTACAGTACAGTAGTATATGAATTACAAGATGAGAGTTGACAAGTTTTGACGGAACAACAGTTTTTAGCCAGATTCACTGATGATAAATGACTTAAGAAACTGGTCAATCTTACATATAGACATACGATCAATGTTAAATAATGTGAACTTGTGTTTGCAAGGTGACCTAATTATCAACATTGAGAATGTTAAACACAAAATTGAAGTACAGTACTGTATCCTCCTTATAATAAATTTTTGGATTGATTGCGTCAAACAAAACTGCAGTGAATGTTTTTCAAAACCTTCATGGCTTCTTGAATAGGAATGATTTGACATGGATGAAAATACAAGAGGCTACATATTTCAGCACCTGCAGCAATTCAGAAATACTTAATGCAGCAATTCAGAAATACTTAATGAGTATTTCCCAAGAAGCCAGACCCTCTAACATGGCTGCACTTGGCTGTAAAAGAAAAAGAGCAGCTCTTTGATATCTCAACGGACCTCACCCTCGAAACATTTAATAAGGACTCGATGTTATCTTTTTGGATGAAGCTCTTACGCCATTATCCCGATGTAAGGAAAAGAGACTTTAAAACATCTCGTAGCCTCCACAACAACCTTATGTTTGAGACCAGATTCTTATGCGAAGACGGTAATTATTTACGACTTCACAGCTGCTGAGTTATAGTGGACACTGTTGCAGTTATGGCAAATGTGTTAAAAAGTGTTTATTTAAAAGTTCAAGTTAACCTAACCTAACCTTAACTTTGGGGGAACTTACTCTTACTGAGACGGGGGAAGTGGCCGTGAAGTCCTCCATATTAGCCGCGAAGAGGATAAAAGTTAAAGTTAAAGTATGAAAACTCGTCAGAAAAAAACAGTTTGGATATCAAAGCTAACCTAGCCTAAAATAATTCCTAAAATTCCCCGGATGACCAAACCTAAAATAATACCAGTAATCCTGGTAAATTTGTACAGGTTGCCCATAATCCAACATAATAATGCGATTTTCTCGAAAACAAATCATTTGCAATGGAAACGTTACTAAGATTTGTTTTTAGAAATGACGAGATATACCCAGAACTGGGCCCAAATATATTGTGGGACATTATGGACAAACTTGTAAAAAAAATATCTAAACCCTTATGACAATATTACACAATAAATAATATATGTACAGTATCTATTGTATACCTCCGCATGGTCACCTCTGGTAAATATATGAATTATTATTACTTATACACTTATTTAATGTAAAAGAACTCGATGTATTATACTTGCTCTCGTTATTATTGTGTAGTTTATTGTGTGTTGGTGACGGTAGTGGTAGACGCTATACGTATACCACCAGTATTTACTTCAGACTTTACTCTAATGTTAAATCTCTACCACGTGCATCAAAGTTTATTTGTTAGTTATTTATTCTTTAACCAGTTCACATGGATCAACCAAAATTTACTTATTCGTGTAAAAATAACTTAGTGATTATAGTTTTATGTATTCTTAAAGAAAATATAAAATAATGTGTTTTGGCAACAGTGTTCGTAGTAGATTTATAACATAGTCACCTGTTTTTTTTGTGAGTGGTGTTGATCAACATGAGGGTTTGTTGATGATAAGGTTTATAGATATTGTACAGTGTAATAATACTGTAGATAAACATAGTTACTTACTCTCTAAAAACAGTTACATGAATTAACTGTAGTTCAGCATGCATATAAACTGAAGTCTACACATAATATACGATGTTCTTGTTGCTCCTGAACAAATAATAATAATAAAATAATGATAATATGCATTACTTTATTATTATTATTATTATTATTATTATTCCTGTAAAAATATACAGTATATTCAATTATATCGTCAATTATTCATACAAGTTTATAGTTGGTTTGGCAGGTACTGTGTATCAAGGCCGGATAGTAAGCAGTTAAGTAATTACACAAGTCTATAAAAAAATAGAAATTATGAATCTGTAACGAGTGACCCAGGATAACCCAAGTCTCTAATAGCGATTATTTTGAATCTCCTGAAGATTAGGTACAACTCCTAGTACCTACGGTTCTGTTAAACTCTAGGATGGTTAAGCTGGAGTATTGAATCCTGGGGGAGGGGGTGCACTTTGGGGTGTCTAATTTATCGTCTTTTTATTGGTAAGATCTGCTAGAGAAGCATTTACTGGTCTCCGCTAACTCAACTGTATTAGACGGTCGAGTGATGTGTTCACCTCTCTTGTTGGCAGGTACTGGAGCATGTTACATACCTGTGTCTTGGCCAGTTATTTACAAAAACTCTCGCTTGTTGCTGCCACATGCTCTCCAGGTGACAATTCTTACTCCACCCAAGTTACCTGACAGTTTTATGTACTGATAACTTCATTAACTTTAAATCATATTTGTGGTGGAGTGACCATCCATTAATTCCCAGGTTCATCCTCTTACAAGTTTTAATGCTGATTGTTTGCAGCCATTCCTGTGATCATTAGTTGAAGGTGATAGAGATGATAATGTAAGGTTTCATATTTCATTAAACTTTGTATATCCTTGAATAACTAAGCGTCATCACAGTCATCATAATCATCACAGTCATCACAATCATCACAGTCATCACAATCATCACAGTCATCATAATCATCACAGTCATCACAATCATTTTCAAAACATACGAACAACACACTACTCTTGGGCTGTTGAATATATCGCGCCATCTTTACCCCCCGGCAAAAGTTCCTTAGGGTGTGGGAGGTCTCGTGCATCCTCTTCATCAGGGATTCGTGTAGCGCCTCCCAGATCCTCATATGTTTTTCGGGTTGATGTTTATATCCCGTCTAGCCTAAAGCAACGATGCCTGCCACTTCCATCCTCTGGTGGCACCTTTGGCTGGGTGACACGATGTGGTGGCACCTTTGGCTGGGTGACACGATGTGGTGGCACCTTTGGCTGGGTGACACGATGTGGTGGCACCTTTGGCTGGGTGACACGATGTGGTGGCACCTTTGGCTGGGTGACACGATGTGGTGGCACCTTTGGCTGGGTGACACGATGTGGTGGCACCTTTGGCTGGGTGACACGATGTGGTGGCACCTTTGGCTGGGTGACACGATGTGGTGGCACCTTTGGCTGGGTGACACGATGTGGTGGCACCTTTGGCTGGGTGACACGATGTGGTGGCTGCTTTGGCTGGGTGACTGAAGTGAGTGGCACCTTGGCTGGAGTGACACGATGTGGTAGCACCTTTGGCTGGGTGACACAGAAGAGTGGTGGCACCCAGCTTGGCTGGAGTGACACGATGTGGTGGCACAGCGGCACCAGGTGACACGATGTGGTGGCACCTTTGGCTGGAGTGACACGAAGTGGGTGGCTTTTGGCTGGAGTGACACGATGTGGTGGCACCTTTGGCTGGAGTGACACGATGTAGTATTAACACTTGAGAAATGGGTGACACAGAGTGGTGGCACCTTTGTACAGGTGACACGATGTGAGGTAACCTTTGGCTAGGTGACACGATGTGGGTGGCACCTTTGGCTGGGTGACACGATGTGAGGTGGCACCTTTGAGCTGGAGTGACACGAAGTGGTGGCACCCCAGCTTTGGCTGGAGCACGATGTGGTGGCACCTTGGCTGGGTGACACTTTGATGTGGTGGCACCTTTGGCTGGGTGACACAGAGTGGTGGCACCTTGGCTGGAGTGACACGATGTGGTGGCACCTTTGGCTGCGGAGTGACACAGAGTGAGTAGCACACCCAACTTTGGCTGGAAATGACACGATGTGGTGGCACCTTTGGCTGGGTGACACGAAGTGGTGGCACCTTTGGCTGGGTGACACAAGTGGTGGCACCTTTGGCTGGAGTGACACGATGTGGTGGCACCTTTGGCTGGAGTGACACGATGAGGTGGCACCTTTGGCTGGAAGTGACACGAAGTGGTGGCACCTTTGGCTGGAGTATGACACGATGTGAGGTGGCACCTTTATTTCAAATGACTTTGATGTGAAGGTGGCACCTTTGGCTCGTGACACGATGTGGTGGCACCTTTGGCTGGAGTAGAGCACGAGAAGTGGTGGCACCTTTGGCTGGAGCACGATGTGGTGGCACCTTTGGCTGGAGTGACACGATGTGGTGGCACCTTTGGCTGGAGTGACACGAAGTGGTGGCACGCTTTGGCTGGGTGACACGAAGTGGTGGCACCTTTGGCTGGAAATGACACGATGTGGTGGCACCTTTGGCTGGGTGACACGATGTGGTGGCACCTTTGGCTGGAGTGACACGAAGTGGTGGCACCTTTGGCTGGAGTGACACGATGTGGTGGCACCTTTGGCTGGAGTGACACGATGTGGTGGCACCTTTGGCTGGAAGTGACACGATATTGGTGGCACCTTTGGCTGGAGTGACACGATGTGGTGGCACCTTTGGCTGGAGTGACACGATGTGGGTGGCACCTTTGGCTGGTGACACGATGGTGGCACCTTTGGCTGGAAGTATTGACACGATGTGGTGGCACCTTTGGCTGGACTACTGGCGTCAACTTATGTTATATGATCACCACTAAGGCCACAAGGTAATGTAGCTTAGCAGATACGATGACTTAATCCCTGAGTATAATGTCATCGTAGTCCAGAAATTAGTCATCGATACTCAAGTGGTTTAAGATGTAGTACTTGAGGTTAAATCATCATTACTCAAGAAGTGGTTAAGATGTAAATACTTGAGGGTTAAAGTCAGCGTACTCAAGTGGTTAAGATGTAATACTTGAGGGGTTAAGTCATCGTACTCAAGTGGTTAAGATGTAATACTTGAGGGGTTAAGTCATCGTACTCAAGTGGTTAAGATGTAATACTTGAGGGGTTAAGTCATCGTACTCAAGTGGTTAAGATGTAGTACTTGAGGGGTTAAGTCATCGTACTCAAGTGGTTAAGATGTAATACTTGAGGGGTTAAGTCATCGTACTCAGGTGGTTAAGATGTACTTATGGGGTTAAGTCATCGTACTCAAGTGGTTAAGATGTAGTACTTGAGGGGTTAAGTCATCGTACTCAGGTGGTTAAGATGTACTTATGGGGTTAAGTCATCGTACTCAAGTGGTTTAGATGTAGTACTCGTGTGTTTAATTCATCCTACTCAAAGGTTTAAAACTGATCTCAGTAGTTCCTGTGTCTGCCTCGTAAAAACACACACACACACACAGCCAACACAACTGAGTGATGAGAGAGAGAGAGAGAGAGAGCTTAAATCCCCTCCTGCGAGAACCCGGAATTAAAGAGCTTATAGCGCCACAGCACACGGGGGCTGAATGGCCAGTGATCCGGACGCCTAATCCACCTTTGTGGGGATTTACGTTGTCCTCTTCCTCCTCGCCTCTCATAGCCTTCATTTTCTTCCTCCTTTCCTCTCCTCTAGCTTATTCTCTTCCTCCTCTTCCTCATCGCGCCTCTTCCCTCCACAATCTTCCTCATTTCCTCTTTCGTATGGTTTATTCTCGTCCTCCTCTTCCTCCTGTTTTACTCTCAAATCATCATCATCTCCCCTTCTCTTCTTTCCTTTCTAATATCTTCCTCCTCACCTCCCCAAATCCTTCCCCCCCCACACACACCAGGAAGCGTGCAGGTGAGAGATACGCAGGAAGGAACACACTGCGTATTCATCCTTCTCTCCCCGTTAACAATGCGTACCTACCCACCAAGGCGACCATCGTGTTTTCTTTCGATCTGCCGCCCCCCTTCGTCGCCCCCTTCGCCGCCCCCTTCGTCGCCGTCACACAAGTTGACCCAAGTGGTAATATTTTTTTTACTCTCAGGAGGATTGAATAACGTGAATGGAAAGATGATTTGTTAATTTATGTGTTTGGATAGCTGGGTGTGTGTGTGTGTGTGTGTGTGTGTGTGTGTGTGTGTGTGTGTGTGTGTGTGTGTGTGTGTGTGTGTGTGTCCCGATTCCCTGTGTCGCCGATCCCTTCCCTCACGACCAGATCCCTTCCTGATCCCTTCCCTCAGCCAGATCCCTCCCTCACGACAGATCCCTTCCCTCACGACCAGATCACTCCCCTCATGACCAGATCCCTTTCCTCACGACCAGATCCCTCCCCTCACGACCAGATCACGACCAGATCCCTCCTCACGACCAGATCCCTTCCCTCACGACCAGATCCCTTCCCTCACGACCAGATCCCTTCCCTCACGACCAGATCCCTTCCCTCACGACCAGATCCCTCCCCCCCACGAGCTGTATTTAAGAGTAATCTCCTTTTCTGGCGTTGAGTGTTACTGGCGAGAGATAGAGATTCGTCCTTCACCTAAACACGATCTGCAGTATAGGGGAAGGAATGTTCTTTGTTCCCGCGGTGGCAGTGTGGAGGAGAGAGGCAAGTAAAATGACTATGGTTAGGTTTAGGTTAGGTTTGGTTAGGGTTAGGTTAGATTTAGGTTAAGGTGGACGATACCGCATGACTGCTGTTTCCTGTTGAGGTCTGTTATCCGCCTGTTGAGGTCTGTTATCTCCCTGTTGAGGTCTGTTATCTCCCTGTTCACAGATAACCGCCCCTGGTCTCATATGTACTGTATGTTTATGTATGTTTATGTATGTTTATGTATGTGTGTATGTTGAGTAATTTGTATTCTGTATCTCTGTACTATATCTAATTTGTTTTGTTTAGATACGCACGTGAGCTGTAAGGAAGAAGAAGAAGAAGAAGCAGAACAAGAAAGAAGAAAAAATAAGAATGGGAAAGAAGAATAATAATAGTAATAATAATAAGACGAAGAAGAAACCAGAACAAAATAATAAGAATAAAATGTAGAAGAAGAAGAAGAAGAAGAAGAAGAAGAAGAAGAAGAAGAAGAAGAAGAAGAAGAAGAAGAAGAAGAAGAAGAAGAAGAAGAAGTGTAAATTAACAAATTCCGCATCACGAAAACTCTTCTCTATAATTAGTGGACGAAACACACGCCAAAAAAAAAATCACAAGCTTAAAAAAAAGATAAAAAAAAATAGTCTTGTTTAGGCTAGTACCTCCTATTAGTGGTATCTAGCTGTTGAGGTATTCTCGGTAATTATACACAGGTGTTTGTATTAGCTAAAGGTTACCTGTCTGTCTCTTGAGGTTTGTTGTGAAGAGTGAGTTTGTTAATATGGTTTTGTCGTTTTTGTAAATTTAATATTTGTTTGCTAATTATTATTTTTAGTAGTATTATTATTTATATTATTGATATTATTATTATTATTATTATTATTATTATTATTATTATTATTATTATTATTAAACGAGACAAAGTTTTAGACGTGCTTAACAGTAAAAGACAAAGGGGTCTGGTAGGCAGCGTGGCCGACAGTGAACTCACTTTCACTTCCCCAACTGTAAAGCTACCTACCACTTTACAGCTTGGTCGACTGGGGGTGCCCCGGGGGTGGGATCAAATGCTGTTGGACCCCTAAAATATATTGTGTAGTTGACCGCCTGATATTTAGTGCCGGATTCATTCTTCTTTATTTACAAGTTGAGTGAAATTTTGTACTTGTACCAGGACGAGCAGAGTGACAGCCTGTGGCAGTCGGGAGAAGAAAACAAACCCCGAATCTAAGTGTGAATCATTGATGTATGACCTTACACACACACACACACACACACACACACACACACACACACACACACACACACACCACATTTATACTTGGTTTATGTATGTAGCTTCTGTATTGTGTGTTGGTGGGTGTTACCCACAGGGTGGTGTGATGCGTCTAGTGCGGTAGCGTTAAGTTAGTGTTAAGGTGCAGCTCTGCTTGCTACTCTTACACTCTCAGCTACTGCCGCCGGCTAGCCCCTGTGGTGAAAGGGGAGAGCAGAGTGTGTAAGTCTCTCCCCTGCCGGTACACAGCCTCTCCACCACCAAGACCCTTCAGTGTCTCCTCGTGGCAACACACGGTAACTGGGTGTCTTGCGACCCCAGGCAAATTCTGTTGGGATCTCGGAGCAGCAGTGGGCCCCAGAGGTACGGTGTGCAGGCCCGCCGGCGTGCGGACACGCCCTGACGCCTACCAACCACTGCACCCCCCCCCCTTCCATTCCCTTGTGGATTAGTCTTGGAGGCCATCAGGCTAGGAGAGCTCACCCTACACAAAGCTGGATGGATATTAGACAGACAGCAGTAGCAGCAACAGCCAACACTACTGACGACATTATCCAACTGTTGAGTAGCAGCAGGAGCGCACCTTCCTCGACCACGTCACCCTGACCAACTCTCAGAACTGACTACAATTGTGGTGACGACCTCGACTGTCCCTGAACAACGCCGTCACACAGCTCAAGAATGGAGTGTAGAGGTCTTCACGAGCATTCAGGATTGCCAACAATAGCTGTTTCTCCCCACTTGAGTCTGGGTAACCCGCACTTCTGCTGGAGAGCAGCTGTTTCTTGGCCTTCCTGGCGTGTTTAGAGGGCTTCTTCTCCGCAGTATATCAGGCCATCGGAATGCAAGTTAACATAAAAAAGCCAACAACAGATAATTGCTAAACACAGAGGCGGAGACCTATCTCCTGCATTCCTAGTCAACGGAGAACCTGTCAAACAAGTAGAACATTTTACCTATCTCGGTAGCGTTCTTACTCCCAAGCACAACATCGGCGAGGAGATCCAGTCTCAAATTCATAACCAACTTTTCTGTTTATCAAGCTGTCTACATTTCCATCATCTTATCCGGTTTGGAGGCGTCAAACATCTCCAGAAGGAGCGTGATAGGTCCAGATGTACACGTAGGGAGAGGAGACACCATCGCCCTCCCCAGAGACCTCCCACCCAACCCGGAGCTGTCCTACCCAATGTGTGATCGTCTGCGGGTCAAGGATTGGAGTCCACAGTTCACCACTCATCATCGAGATCATCATCATCATCATCATCGACCTTAAGCAAGTAAGTGTGTGAGGTTAGGTTAGGTTAAGTAATATTCTAAGGGCGTTAATGTACTGCCAGGGAGAGAAATATTAGTCGTATATTTATAACTCAATGTAAAATATCCCTTCTACCTAAATACCAGGGAGATAAAGTATTATTTTGTTGATATATCTTGTTTACTTGAAGATATTATGAGGGTGTGGGCGGGTACAGGGAGGGTGTGGGTGGTAGTGTGGGGTGGAGCTGGGTGTGGGTGTGTGGTGTGACTGGGGCAAGGTGTGGATATGTGGGTATTAAATCTTATATACCAGAGTGCACTAGAGGGTGTAGTCTAAGTCACAGGTTTATCTTGCAGGATGTGGAAGACGAGAACGCACAGACGCAACCCAATGGACGAAGCAGGATTGTGTTAGTCGACGCTTCAAATAAGGTCAGTGTTTCGTAATTTAATAGATTAATATCATTCCATTATCTATGAGTTGCTGTTAAGAATAATTTGTTTTCTTCATCTTTTGTTAAGGCGTTTGTTGACATCTTGGTGACTCTGATGTCATGTTTTGCTAGATTGATGTCATGGATGTATGTTTATTTATTACTCAGGTCCTAAGAATACAAAGTCTTTGGTGAAACATAAACGATAAGAATACCAAGTGATTAAATGAGGAAAAATTAGTGACATTTTTTTCGTGTGAGTTAATGATGGTGAAATTGCAACCTTTTTCTAGTCATTAGAATTTTAACCTAAGCATAATTTAACCTAACCTTATCTAACCTAACCTAACCTAACCGCTCTGTCATTCAAAATGTATTACGCATCCGTGAGTATCTATACGCTTGACTGAATAGCTTCCAAAATTTCACTAATTCCCAATAAATATTTTCAATTACCTTCAAAAACAAGTCAATTTGTGTAGTAACATGATTTCCAGGTGAGTTAATTAATGCCTAATGAATATACTAATAATAATTGATGAATTTACATAATATTAAATGACTTTACCGGGTCAGCATTACAGAATATTGGACTTGTTCACAAAAAAAAAAAATCATTGGACTTCGAATGTTACTGAATCTTTAATATTATCAGGATTCGTAGCTCCTGTGAACGATATATAGAGACACGCTATGAAATGATGTGAGAAAATATGCTTGTTTATGCTGTGTTTCATTATGTATCGTTATAGGTCAAAATATAACGAACTTAGGAGGAAATTATACGCATTTTGGCTTTTCGCTATATACTTCTTCGCATGCTACTAGGGTGGGAGGTGAAGGAAGGAGGGAAGAGGGAAGCAGGGGGTAGGAAGAGGAGGAGACAGAAGGAAAAACGATGGGATGAAGGAGGAAGGGAATGGGAAACGAAAGAGACTAGAAGGAATGAGAAGGAGAAGAGAAAGATTAAGATACGAAGAAGGAGAAAGGAAAGGCATGAGAGACAAATGAGAAGAGAGAGTATGAGAGAAGAAGAGAAAGAATAAGACACGTAGAAGGAG